AGTGAAAAGACACAAAGCAAGTTTGGGAAAACTGGGTCACTACATGCAAAAGAATGAAGCCTGAGTACCACCTCACACCAAGTACAAAAACCAACTCAAAATGGATTAAAGAACTAGACATAAGTCCTGAAACCATAAAATACATCAACAAAAAATAGGCGAAACACTACATGACATAGACCTCAGTAACATCTTTAGAAACACATCACCCAAAGCAGTGATAGTGATGGGAAAGATAAACAGCTAGTTAACAACAAGTTAAAGAGCTTCTGTATAGCAAAATAGACAATAATGGAAACAAAAAGACACCCCACAGATTGGGAGAAAATTTTTGCACACAACACTAATGATAAAGGACTGATCACAAAAATCTACAAAGAGCTGACTAGACTCAACAAAAACAAAGTAACCAACTCAGTCAAAAAATGCGCAGAAGAATTTAAAAGAAACTTCTCCAAAGAGGAAATGCAAATGGCCAATAGGCATATGAAAAAACATTCAGCATCACTTGTAATCAGGGAAATGCAAATCAAAACTACAATGAGATACCACCTTACATACATATTAAAAAACTAGCAACAACAAATGTTGTCAAGGTTGTGGAGAAAAAGGAACGCTCCTGCACTGCTGGTGATCATGCAAACTGGTCTACCCACTATGAAGAGCTGTGTGGAGATCCTCAACCTGCTAAAGATGGAGCTTCCATACGATGCGGCAATTCCACTCCTAGGTATTTACCAAAGAACACAGAAACATTAAATCAAAAGGGCACCTGCAACCCTTTGTTTATCACAGCACTATTCACAATAGCTAAGCTATGGAAACAACCCAAATGCCCAAAAATAGATGACTGGATCAAGAAGATTTGGTATATATACACCATGGAATATTACTCAGCAATCAAAAAAGATAAACACATGCAATATGCAGCAACATGGATGGACCTGGAATGGATCATGCTCAGTGAAATAAACCGGAAAGAAGAAGAAAAATTCCGGATGGTCTCACTCATAGCAGGAATTAGAAAACCTAAATAAGGGATCAGGAAAAACTAATTATAATAAAGTAAAAATCAAAATCAATAAGCAACTATAAATCAGAGACACACCCCAGGTGGGGGAGAAGGGAGTATGAGCAAAACAAGGGTGGTGGCAATTGTATGGGGACTATAACCAAGGTATAAATGCATACATTATATGAAAATGAAAAACAATATAAAAAATATACAAAATTTAAAAACCAAAAAGAAAAAAAAAAGAAAAGTAAAGAAAGCAAAAGCAAGTGTTAAAGTAAGAAAGCAAAGAAAGTGTTCAGGTTTGGGAGAGGGATCATAGGGAAACAAATGTGTATGTGCTACAGTGACTCACTACAAAATGTAAAACGACAAGTGACTGGACATGGTCTTGAGACCTACATTGACAGGGAGGAGACTGGTCAGGCTGAGGAAAAAAAAAAGGAAAAAATAGGGAGAAGGACAAGAGAAGGGCCCAGTATGGCAGCTGGCACTGCCATCCTCCCACCACCTCAGACTCCCGCAAGGCCACATTGTCCCAGGCATTTGGGACCTCACCATGTTCGGGGGCTGCTATCCTGCTTCTACTGCCAGCAGCCGGGACACCTCAGCCACGAGTGTCTGAAGAAGCCACCCCCATGTCGTGTCCTCAGTGCCACTGCACAGGGCACTGCAAGAGGGACTGTTCCTCTCTCTGAGAGAGACGGGGGCAGCCCAAACCACAGGCCAAGATGGGAGGGCAGGTTTGACCATCAGCCACCTCTGACTACGAAACCAGCTACAGCGGAAGACATTTCCTAAAGAAGCCCAGAGGTGAGACAAGCATCAGATGACCTAAAAGTGGCAGGCCAAAAAAAAAAAAGAAACCCAAAACCTACTTGGTGAATCAGGGGTCTTGTACTCTTCCTTGTTGCATTCTACTTAGACTGGCCTAGAGATGACTAGCCTGAGCCAGGACACTTTAACACTTCCAGTGAGATAAAAGAAAACCTAAAGTTATTAAAAATATCTGTATTACAGATGGCATCACAGGCAGGACAAGAGCCTAGTAGGCTACAATCATTCTTGGCCTCTATTGGAAACCAATTTCTGCCCTGGTTGCTATTCTTGCTGGATCCCTCACTAATTTTTGTTTATATTTTTTTGTTTGGGCCTTGCATCCTCAACACCCTCATCAGAATCATCTCCTGTCACCTCAAAGCCAGCAGACGTCTGATGGTCCTTCAGATGGAGGCTGATAGGATGCCTCCACCATCTTTCCTCCCAGGGCCCTTAGATCGCCGCCCTGCAGTGGAGCCCTGACTGCTCGACAGCGTAACCATTTTCAGCAGGAGGCGGGTACTGGTCAGATCAACGCCCTCTGTCCTAACAGCAGTGGGGGACTCCATCTGTACAAGGGGTAGGGAGCCCCAGGGCAAGTCAGGGTTAAGTAGGCAGCTTCAGGGACAGTGGGGGCAGGGACTTCAGGAGACTTAAAGAGGCTTCTGAGACAAGGACAGTAAATTCTAAGTACTAACCAACACATACACCCGAGGGGAGGTCAGAAAGTCCAGGAAGACGAAACAAAAACGGTACACTGTGCAGTGCCTGGTGACTGACTGTAGTTTCTTTCACACACACTGGAACCCTAAAAAAACTGTCTTCGAAGGCTGTACCCTGAGATCTATGCATCAAAGATATGATGGAATAAAAATTAAAAAGGGGGAAATGAAGTGGACAATGTCAGGATGACTGTGGATGAGCTGAAGTCGGGACAGAGCCTGTAGACTGAGAATTTCAGGGAACAACGGAGAAGCGCCCTCCAGGCCACACGCGCCCTGAGTCACGCATCCCCAGCTGCTGTGTTCCTTGATTTACTTAATAAATACTCTGTAACCTAGTTGCTGGGGCTCAGATTGTGGAGAGAGATCTCCTCCAGGCTGCTGGTGTGAAGCTGTCAGTGTAAATAAAGAACTTCCTTCCTCCTCTCTGAGTGCTCCTGCTCCCTCATGACAAGCTGCCAGAATAGTCACCCTTAAAGACAGGAAACTGCTGTGCTACAACATGGATAAGCCGGGGAGACACTTCAGTCAGAGAGAAAAGGACAATATTTTCATGAGCTAGTAGGATTTAAAAACAGAATATGGAATGGGGGACCAGAAGGTGACAGAAGGGACACGGGGACACTGTTTACTGCGGAGAGTTTTAGGTTGGGAAGAGCAACCCTTTGTACAGATGGAGAGTGGGGATGGGGGCTCCACAGTGTGATGTTGATGCCAGTAAGTAGAATATGTTAGATGGGGAACATGGGGAATTTTATGATTTGTTTAACACTCTCCCTATGCCCCCATCACACACACACACACACACACACACACACACACAGAAATCTGTTCAGCTATATTGACACTATTCACATGAGTCCTTGGAGGTAGAGGAGGATCCAAAGCCATGTTCTGCTGAATCAACAGGGAGGCTGTCATAATTCTCTTTATTGTCATCAGCTTCACACTGTGGTGCTGCCATCTCCACTCTCCATCGGCACAAGTACTTCATCCTTCCCACATGAAACCCACCCACTAAACACCATCACCTTTGTTCCTCTCCCACCTGCTCTCCACCAGGCACAGGGATGTGTAAATCTCCATTTCTGAGGGAGTGTGTGAAGGGAAGGCTTTGGATGAACATCACCAAGCAAGGCTGGTAGGTGACTTCCCTGTACTTCGAGGGGAGGTCTGGGGCACAGAATGTGATCATAGTTACCAGAAATAAGCATCCCCCAGCCAGAGTCCTTTTACCATCCATGACTTTACGACCACTGGAAAGCAAACCACCCATCTGTTGGGACTCACTCTAATTGGGCAGATACAGAACTGCAGTTTCCATGGCTACACTATCAGCTCACGCAGTGTGGCCGTGACTGAGATATTGTGATCAAGGCCACCGATCAGCAAGAACTGGACAAGGAGACAGCACCTTGAACTCTGGCACTGACGTGGTTTCCCTTCATATCTGTAACAATGGAGGTTCTCCCCACTACCCAAGACCCTAAAATGAGGGACATGTGACTGTCCCTTGAGTATGAACTTTAACACCCACACACAAGGGATTAGAGCAGAGGCTGGAAGACACCCCTGAGAGAGGAGAATGACTAAATAGTCTGGAGCACTAACTGCCAACTGAGGGGTGACCTCAATCTTTCACTCAAGGCTGGGTTCTCTTCCCAGGAGAGGGGCAGCTATGGAAAGTCTCAGACACCCCCAGTGCACATGAGCTGCAGCAGCTCTGTCCTCATCGCCAGCCTCATGAGTGGCAGGAACATGAGCTCACCTGGAGGGACCCTGTTCTCACTGCTCACAAAGAATGGTTTGAGGAACATGGGGGAGACTATGTGGGGGGCAAATCAAACCTTGTATGTGATGAATGTGCCAAAGTGATATGTTTGAGGTCTTCAAGTCATGAAGTTATTTAAAATTTCAATTCTTTAATCTAAGGCATTTTTGCCATGAAACCCAGTCTAGGATGTTCTATGCAAGAAAGATCAAAATTCTGTCTCTACAGGCTGAGGCGCTGGGCATCTGAACCAATCACTATTATAAGGCTGAAAAATACAGAGAAATTCACATAGACACTAGGGACATAAAAATAAAGCATGTTCGGGCCTCCCTGGTGGCGCAGCGGTTGAGCGTTGGGTTGCGAAGCTGCCCGCGGCCTCTGCGGCGCCGGTTCGATCCCCGGCTGCTCCCCTGCCACCGGAGGAGGGTCCCACATGGCGCGCAGACCTCTCCTGCCGCCCACTGCTCCCCTCAGCAGTGTACCTCGGTCCTTCTGCCTGCTCTGCTCCCCGCTCTGGCTCTGTGAATTCTCTCACCCTCCCGCGCTTCTGACTGTACCCAGTGCATGTATAAACAAAACAAACAAACAAACAAATAAATAAAAAACATGCCTCTATTAAAAAAAAATGTTAAAAAAAAAAAAAAATAAAGCATGTTCTTTGGCTGTCATCTATTTCTCATGGGCTGGTGAGAATAAATAATCAAGTTTATGCTTTGTCCAACCACGCCTTCCGTGTATGTTCTAGGATAGAAAAGCCTCAAATTCTTACCTGCCATTCCCTTGTTTGTTCTCTTGTGCTCAACTTCATACTCCTAGACTGGTGTAACAGTTCTCTCAGTTTTGTCACAGCTTCCTGGAGTTTTTTCTGATCAAAAGTGGGTGAAGAAGAAAATACAGTTAAGATGACAGATTGATTTTGTTCCTGAGAGGAATCCCTGCCTTCCAAGACACTAGAATGACATGAAATATCACTGAATCCTTACACGTTCAGTATAAGTGCCCCGAGGACCATGTGCAGTGATACAGGTGACCCCTAATTCCCAGGGCTCATGGCAGGATGGCTGCCATCATGTCTGCTGTAGAATCAGAGTCTGGGGAAGGGGTAACTAACCTGCCCAAGGGCTGTGACTACCGGCATCTTGAACCTCATGTGCTGACCCTCAGGTGGAGCTATATGGACCTCTACAGCCTCACCAGGAAACGCTGCACCCAGAACAAGACAGTAACCATCTAAAAGAAGCCTTTCTCCACCTCTTCTACGTGGAGAGTGGTCTGTGTCCATCAGGACTCTCATCTAGGAAGCTCCCTGGATTCACTCCCAAATGGTGGGGTCCAAACCTACAGGAAGGAACTCCAGGGAGTTTTCTTTTGCTGATTGGTTTAGTCTCACAGACTGCAGGAGAAATAAAATCTAGTGGTCTCTGTGCTTGTTTTTTGAATTTGTCACACGTCCTTGCACATTGTGGTTACTCTAACTTATACACATGTTAAGATAAAACATGCCAGTGTGTGTTTGGACAACTGTATTCTCCAGCAGGGGGCATCACAGCGAGAGTGAACATGGAGGAGACTCTCCCCATCCTATGAAAGTCCATATGGACCATAGGAATGTGTTTTGGGAACTAACATGAACTAATTTCCAAAGAATGAGATGATGAAAGTTTCATTCCGGATCACATTCTTGAGTTTCAGCCTAAACAACCTTAGATCTGGGAGTTCAGCCTCAGATCACGTGCCGTTGAAGGATCGGGGCCCTCACTCACCTTGGAGCGCAGACACAAATCTTCAGCAAGGACATGGTTGTGTCCGCTGTGCTCGGGGCACTGTGCACAGCCACTGCAGATGAGCTGCCCGGTGTCCTCACAGTACAGGCACAGCTTCTCCCCATGTTCCTCACACAGCCTCTCACCCTCTAACTCCTTGCCAGCTGCATTGATGTATTCATCTAAATGCCCGATAACTTCCTCACGCATTGATGCCCGAAGCAAACGATAGTCAGAGGCCCATCTCCCCCATCTCGGTCTCTTCCTCCCTGGTTGCACCCCTGATATCCCTGGTTGTTCCCCTGATGTCTCTTGTTGCTCTTCAATGCTGCCCTCTATGCACTGGTGGCAGAAGCTGTGCCCACAGTCGAAGCTCACAGGCTCTGTCATGGGCTGCTGGCAGATGGAGCATGTTGCTTCCTCTCTCTTCCTCTTGTTAGTTGGGGCTGAGGCCATGGATCTTCCTGTAAAGCTCCAAGTCGAGGTGAGAGGCAGAGATGAAGTAGACACAATTCTTCACACTGAAGGACATGCAGGTGACCTGGGCTTTTCTATCTCCCAAGCCTGGAAATCTAGTTGGAAAAGAAAACTTTTGAGGATTTGGAAGATGCTCGCCCTGTGGATGCCTTGTACAAACACTGATCCCCATCACATCTGACCACTAAAATAGAAGTTATTGAAAAGTGATAGTATTTAAATTTCAGCTTTTCAGCCCCATGAGCTATGTGTCACTGGCGTCATGTCAGCCCAGGGATAAGGCTCCATCACACCCAGACACACCACGTCCCCTCACAGCAGAGACTCTCCTTGGGGAGGAGCTGAGAGAGACAGAGAAGAGAGGACATGACTCACAAACGTTGCAGCCGGAGAGAGATCTCAGTGAGAGGGAGTGAGACTCTTTCCTACTGGACTGAATGTCCAGAGAATCAGTGGCCCGAACCGTTTCTCTGTGAGCAGTAGGGCCACTTAGGACGGGGGTCTGTGCGGGATTCCAGTGAGACAAAGTATATCTGACCCTACTGACCTCCACACTCCCGGGTCTCCTGCCCCAACTCACACACCCACAGGACAAAATAAACAGTTTCCCGAAGTGGATGATAATAAACTCAACAAGACAATGCAAAGCTTTTTGTCCTTCTGTCGTTTGTGGCAAGGGGAGAGAAACAGAACTGGAAACAGTGGGAAGATGAGGTGGTGCTGGGGCCGAGCTCCAGGACACCCCGGGAGACACCTGTCCCTTCTGAACCATGACTTGTCCCCAGAGCAAGGGAGGGGAATCCAGGGTTGGCACCACCAAGGCGTGGGTAGGTGGGAAGCAGTGGGGGGACAGGTCTGGTTGGGACATTAGGGACTGGACCCCCTAGATTCTCACAACCCGCATCTGAGAGCCGGACAGGAGAGCAGGAACAGGAGCTAAGGGGCCTCCTCCCCCAGCCCCTGCTCAGGGAACATAGTGTGCCCCCCCTCCCTGCTGTGGGTTGTGGGGAGACAGTGGAAATGGGGAAACTTCAGCAAGCTGTTCTGTGAAGTGACAGTGCTCTGAATGAAACACTGGAATTCAACTAAATTACTTATCAGGCTCCGCCCCTCAAAGATCAGGATGACCCTCTGCCTCCACAGAGAATTTCTTCTAGAGACTTTGATCCTTGATGGGTTAATCCCCAGTCCCTTGCCCCAGGATGTATCAGCCTTCTCTCGGTGCCAAGGGGCACTGCACTCCTGCACAGAAGCTCTGTCCAATGACCCCGGGCTGGAGTGGTGGCCTCCACTCACCTTATGACCTGGATCTTCTGAGGTGGGGCCTGTGGTCTGTGAAAGAGAGAGAGAGAGACAAGGGGAAGCCATTAAAAGCAAGTTCTGACCACTTTCAGATTCCATGGCCACCCTCACTGCCTCCCATAAAACACACACACACACACACACACACACCATACAAACCCACGTTAGCAGTTTTTTTTTTAAAACGTTGGCCTAGATTTGGTCACTACCTTCACCACAAAGCACAGTCCCAAATTCACTGCAAGCCCCTCTACACTGTGATTTCTGGCAGTTACAATGAAGAAGTTAACTTGGACTGTAAAACTCAGAAATGAAAAAATATCAGGGTCAGACTCTACACATGAGGAGGAATCTAGTGGCTTTGCCTGTGTGTTGTGTCTCAGCTTGCCAACAGAAGTGGGACACAGTAGAAATGATGCCCTTCATTTGTAGTAATCGAAAAATGTGACTACATAGTGAGCAAGAATCTTCTGTCACAAAACGCAGAGATTTAAACGAACATCCAGTGGACTGTAAACTGAACATCTTTCAAATAAATGAAATTGACCAAATACGTGAGGAGACATTCCATGTCCACACACTGCGGGTTCATACTGTGAAGCTGACCATGCTTCCCTAAGCATCACACAGTTTCAGGGCACTCCCTATATATAAAAGCTGTGGTTCTTTTTTGCTGTTGTTGTTACTTTGCTGTTTTATTTTGTTTTTGTCTTTGTAACATCAGCCAAATCATCCTAAAATTCATTGAAAAATCCAGGAATCCAGGATAGTCAGAATAATCTTGACAGAGATCAACCTTGCAAGAGTCACAGGTGCAATTTCAAAGGTACATGGCTACAATGGTCAAGACTATTTAAAAGTGTTAGCATAAAGATATACATGTAGATCACTGAAATACAATAGCCTAGAAATAAACCCATACATCTTCTCACACCCCCCACCTCTGGCCTGTACCCCAGTTCTTGTATACATAAATCAATATATCTTCAAAATAAATAAAAGACTGTAGAAAAGGTAAGTCTGGCATCGGATGTAAAGGTAAATGAGTGTGACTAATAATTGATTTTATTTTTGGAAAACAAATTAAGAAGCGGAAGGCAGGCCTCCCTGGTGGCGCAAGAGTAAGTTAAGAAGCAACCTAAGAAGCTGTCCCCAGCCTGTGCAGCAAGACTTCGATCCCCAGCCAGGGAGCTACCCACCTGGTGCAGCAGACCTCTTCTGTCTCCCTGGCCACTGCCCCCAGAAGTGTATTTCAGTCAGTCTGCCTGTTTTGTTCCCCACTCTGTCTCTGGTGAATCCTCTCACCTCCCCCTCCACCTCTAGCCTGTACCCCAGTTCTTGTATGCATAAATAAACAAATGTTTAAAAATATGAAAAAAAAAAAAAAAACAACAAAAAACCAAAATGAGGTAGAAGGCACAGCAACAAAACTCTAGAAAATGAAACCGAAAGAAAATAAAACCAAGAAATGACCAGGGTATCTGTGAGCTGCACCACCCGCCCGCCCTGTGTACAGGACAGAAAGAACATGAGGAGAAATAACAGCTGGAAACATATGGAGAGAATGAGGAGGGGTGGGGGGGAGTTTTATTTACAAAAGTAGCTAGGGAAGGCAAGGGGGGTGAGTAGAAGGGGGAGGGGAGAGAGTTCAGGAGGGGGAGGGGAAGAGCTAGGGGGAGGGGTTGGGATACCAGAAGTGGAGGGGGCAGGAGGGAGAGCAGATGGCAGAGGGGGGAAGGGAGACAGGGGAGAGATTGGAAGGGGCCTGGGAGGGGGAGCAAGAGGGAGGGGTGGAGGAGAGACAGCAGAGGGGCAAGGGGGGGAATGGGGGGTATGAGGGAGGGGGAGGGGGAGGGGGAGGGAGAGCAGAAGGTAGGAGAGGGAGAGGGAGGGCAATACAGGGAGCTGGAGAGGCGAGGGGGAGGGGACAAGTGAGGGGGAGGGGGAAGGAGGAAGGGGGAAGGGTGAGTGGGAGAGGGAGAGGGAGAGAGGGGGAAGGCAGGAGAAGGGGAGGGAGCGGGCTCTGCCCACACCTGGGCACACACTCTCCCTCCCGCCCACCTGTACCTGGCACCTGCAGAAGCAGCATCTCCCGGGCTGGAGACCACAGTCCTCCAGAGCTCAGGGCCACCCGGAAGTCCCCGCAGGGCCTGCTGGGAGCGGTGACTCAGGCCGGAAGGGGGGGGGCTGGGGGGGACATAGAGGGGAGGTGCAGGGGAGGAAGAGATTTGTGGTCCAACTGCACCCCGCTTGAGGGGGAACCACATCTCCACTTCCTGGCGCTGCCGGCCCCGCCCCGTGTCTGGAGACTCCCCTGAAAGACACCCGTGACCCTCCAGGGCCTGATCAGGCCCTCCCAGGGCAGGGCTGTGCTGGAGGCCGGGGGCTTCCCGAGTTCACCTTCTCCTCCTCGTTCTCAAACCATCTGAGGGAGCAGGGAAATGTTGACTTTATCATGCTACTTTTTCATCTTCCACCAGCATCACCACAGTCACTGCAGAGGAAGCTGCAGGGGAGGGAGGGTTCTCTGGCTCAGCACCAGCCTGGCCTGCCCCCTCCACCTCCTCTGCTCCCCAGGCAGACCCTCTCCCACCCCAGCAAGGACACCCTCATTACCTGCTCTTCACTCCCTCCAGTCAGACTAGCTGTGTTCCTTTTCCAGACCCACTTCTGGGGGCTGCAACTTGGGGGGTGCGTGGGGGCGGGGTCAGCACTGGGGCGGGGCTCCCAGAGGGCGGGGGGGGGGGGGGGGCAGGGGGAGGAGGGTCCACAGGAAAGAGCCCCCAGTAGGCGCTCCCTGGAGCTTTCCTTGACCATAGATGCTGGCAGTGCCCTCTGCGAGTTGTGGGGACTGGAAAGCGCAGCCCCCCCTGATTAAGCAGCCCCCGCCTCTGTGCTCTTGTTTCTCATCTGCCGGCGTCTCCTCAACAACTGACCATCAGTGAGAGAATCACCCGAGAGCATGGTGGGTTGTTCTCAGACAAGAGCCAGTCATGACAAGCGTCTTTATCAGAGATCAACTTGCCCCACGGCCTTTCATCACTTTAGTTTCCAGGACGATGTCGCTGACAATGCCAGGGACAGGCTGTCACTGAAATTCCTGCATCCTCACAGGCAACACCCTTGTCAGCTCATGGGCTGTGCAGAGCTGGATTTCATCCTCTGCCACGGTTTCCTGTAGATGGAAGTGGGCACTGAGGTCAAAGACAGCCCCAGGTGCTGCCCTGCCACCATCCTGCTCACCAGTGGCTCAGGAATGTGCCCACCTCTAGGCCCAGGTAAAAGGCACTATCCTGGGTGTTAGCTTGAATGTCTGCAGCACCCACAACATGTACACAGGAGGTGCTCTGTTGTGGGTGTGTGTGCTCAAATCTTTCACCTTACTCCCTGGGAGGTTCACATGGACCTGTGTAAGGAGAAAGAAGTGACCATGGGCACCACTTCTGGGAAAAGAGACCCTCCGTGTCCCTGTGGAAGCTCCACTACATGACAGTCCTCTGCCTGGGGCCTCTTCACAGCCTTTTGAATATGTGAGGCCCAGGCTGAGGGTCACTGTGTTATCAGGCAGCTTCCCAGGTGACTGGATACACAGAAAGGGACAAGGACTTCTAATCTGGGCTAAGTCCAACCCAGGAAGGAATCCTTTCCTCTGTCTGTTCTAACTAAAGTTCCCTCTTTTCTGGAGAAATGGATCCCAAAGAAGGGAGAAAATTCCCCGGGAATCCACAAAGATGAAATGATGGTGCCCAAGGATCCCTCATTAGCAGGTCACACATGTGAAAGTGCTTTGCATCTTTATATGCATTAACACCCCAAAACCCTTTTCTGTGCTCTATGCCTCAGGGTTTGTGCCTCAGCACTTCTCACAACCACCTGGGAGTAGAGCCCCAGTATCATATGGAAGAAACCAAGGCATGGATGGATGGTGTCACTTGTCCAGTTTTTTTTTTTTTTTTAAAGGTTTGTTTATTTTGGATACAAGATCTGGAGTAGAGGCCAGAGGTGTGAGGGGTGAGAGGATTCACCAGAGACAGAGTGGGGAGCAGAACAGGCAGATTGACTGAAATAGACTGCTGAGGGGAGCAGCGGGAGAGTGAAGACAGGTCTGCTGCACCATATGGGTAGCTTCTGGGCTGGGGATCGAACTCATGCTGCAGAGGCTGCAGATAGTTTCATAGGTTGTGTCTTAACCCTTTGGGCCACCATGGAGGCCCCACTTGTCCAGTTTTAAAGAAAATCAAAGCAGACATAAACCAGGCTCTGCATTGGAAGATGGAAAAACTTATTTTTATCTCCATCTAATATCTTCATCAGACCCAGCATGTCTATCTCACTAAAACCAGCGCTCAGGAGTGGTAGCTGCCGCGGACCAGCACAGCGATGGACGATGAGACCGTCTCAGGGTTGAGAGATTGCGCAGGGTGGTCAGGGATTCGATGAATAAATGACACACAGACACACTTCAAGAGAGTGAAAATCTGAGTGCGTCTTTATTAAGTTAGTGGTCAGTATATATATGTTTTTCTAAAAGCATCAAAGAGATCAGTTTGCTCATAAATTTAGCTTAATTGACAGGGCAGTGATTTATGTCCGAAGTTACATCTAGCCTCATTCCTAATTGGATAGGCTATAAATTCTTTTTACTATTCTATATAATTATTTTCTAGTTGCACTAACTATCATAATTAATTGTCATGGGTGAATTTATTTTATAATGCAGTTAATATCAAAGGTACTAAAGTTAAGCACATAATAGAAAGATTATTAAACTAACAATTCTATTATAACACAGTGTTTAGTAATGTTTCATTTGCATTAGCCTAATTATTAAATTAGGTATGTTTTTTAATTAGCAATCAATGACCAGAAAAAGGAAAGTTTTTTAGAGAGACAGTTGTAGCAGAATAAAGTTTATGGGCCTTGAGAAAGCGAGATAAGGTTCCAAGTGGTCAGCATTTCTTTTAATCATCTTTGTGGCAGCTTCTGGTGGTCATTATTTCTTGACAGGCATTCGGCTTCTCTGCATCTTAAGGAGTTTGCTGTTCTCCCCCTGCGCGCATGGTTCCTTGCCCACGCCGGACCTCAGGGACCATGGTAACAGCCATTAGCCCTGAGGGTCACTGCAGGGGGAGGTGCAGCAGGTCCCCCTTTGATTTTAGAACGAAGTTGGTAAGCATACATGTCACACTGGATGCGGTAGATGGACCTGTGAAGTGAGCGGACACAGAAGGGAATAAACAAACAGAGAAGCAGGACAAGTAGGGAAAGAACAAGGAAGGAGAGAACAAGATGATACCAGTGAGTAGGAGTTAAAGATTGGAGAGTGGAAGCCAGAGAATGGGCAAAGGAAGAGACTGAAGTATCTAGGTGAGATTTACTGACAGCAGAGATTTCAGACTGAAGAGATGCAAGGTCATGAGAGAGGTCATTGTCATGCCAGATGCCCAATAGGTGATGTTTAGTAAGATTCCAATGTAGAGAGGAATTATAACGCAAAGGTGTAACACAAATGAAACGAAAGTGAACGTGGCAGCGAGTGGATAATTGCTGCTTAAGCAGCTGAACTTCATCTCCAATGGCAATAACAATTTCTTCCAGGGCATTTATCTTTCTTTCTAACTTGTAATCAATGTCCCGCTGCACAGAGAGTGCCATGGTCACATTTTTGGTAAGGTCATTTACAAAAGAAGCTGTCTTAGTTTCCTGAATTAAAGCAACAGAGGAAGTAGCTAAGGAGGTAACCAGGGAAATTAGAGCAGCAATTCCTAGAATAAGGGTGGCAATAAAACGTTTAGGACGAAGAAGGGCATGTACTTCATCTAAAACTTGCATGGCAGTATTATCATACCAAGGCATATCATGTAAATCAACAGGTAACATAACATAGGGGGGTCTTTTAAGTAAGACCACCACAGGATATATACGAGCAAGAGAGGGGGTGATACAATTAGTAATAACACAGCCAGAACAATGTACAGAGTAAGAAGTCCCACGCAATTGAATGCGTGTAGCTGTGGCATTTCCCAGAAGTAGAGCAAGGGGTATCCAACGCAGGCACGCACTGGGATCTTAGCAGTGTCCTGTCCAGGTTGTCTGAAAATTACATCATCAAAGGCAGCGAAGAGACGAAAAAGTTCAGGCTGTAAATAAGTCTTATTGTGATGATTAAAAGCATACATAGGTGGCACCCATCCAACAGAGAACCTTCTATAGGGAAGGGTTGGAACAGCAAATGAAAAATCATATACAGTAAACTGAGACATAAGAGGGGATATAGGCATTGCTTGAGAAAAACCACAGTGCAGCCAAACTGGGTAGGAAATAAGTGAATCCCAGTATTGGTCAACATCCCGGTATTTTTGAACACAGTTGGGAAAAGGGGGAGTAAAGGGCGGTGAGGAGAAGGTGCGGATTTCATCGTCTGCTATTAATTGTTCCAAGGCCATGAACGTTAAATCCCAGACGACACGGTCTTTGTTGTTTGTTTGATGGTTTTTAGGGGGAGTGCGAGGTGGTGCATCAGTGAACATGAAAACATAATGTAGCATCATACAACCAGGAAGGGATACAGAGTTAGCATAGGCACAAAGTGGAGGGTCATCAGATAGACCGTCATAATCAATAGGGGAAGAAACCATGTGTTCAGAGTGAAAATCAGCCAAGCCACCAAGAAGGTTGGTGTCATTTACATAAACTTTTATGACAGAGTTTTCTGTCCAGGGAACTGGGTGCAGAAAAGGTGGCTCGGGAACATAAGCCCAGAAATGTGCCGCTTGTACGGGCGTAGACTGAGTTGCCAAAATGGCAATAATTGCCATGAAAATTGATAAGGCAGTGCGTGGAACATTATTTTGTTGCACCAGGTGTTCAGCCATCATCGCGAGGGCCTTTATATGACCCCAGGTTGGAAGGCGGTTGGGATGCTCCCGCAGGAGTTGAAGGCGACGCATCCTCCTCGTCAAACGCGCCATCTGCCGTCGGTGGCGGATAGCCTGAGCTCTCGCTCGGGACCGGACCGACGGGCAGTGGCGGATGAGTCTGTCCGGAATCCAGACAGGGGAGTCGGCATCCTGAGGAAAAATACAAGCATAACCTCGCCCTGAGGCAAGCAGTAAATCTGGGCCTTTCCAGGCTCCA